GTCTTCCGACGAAAGTTAAAATTTTTGATCCTGCGGGATTGCATCATCCAGTAGGGATTGCATCATCCCGCGCGAGGCTCGGTAGTTGGGCCGGGCCTCTGCATTGTGTGACTTGTTAGGAGAATTTGTATCGCCAAGTTAAGACTATTGCTGTATAGACATTATTGCCTATTGGATCGACATGGCCGTATCGGATCGCTTTTAGCGACCAAGTGCCAAACAACCGGAAAGAAGAAGAACCAGTATAGCGTACTGAATTTTTATATTTCCGATCCAGAATTCGCCCTGATATAGGTTAGGAAATGTGTCAAGGCTCGTCTAGACGACAAGGCGTAAGGCGCGGCGCAAGAGCGCGAGCACACAGACGCAAGAGGATTTTTCCCGATCATAGGGTCGTGGCGCAGCGGCGCAAGCGAAATAACCCAGGTAGCAATATTATAAGTTATCGCTTTAAGGTTGCCTTTAGGATTTTACTATAAGATAACCAATGTATGTTTTAAAATTGGTATCTATTTTACTCTGTTGTCCTATTATTTTAGGTTATATTGAAACGTTTGCTGTACATTATTGTATGTGCTCTGGAACTGTTCAGTTATTTCGAGACACTTTTGGCAGAGGACGAGGAATGTCGGCAGTGCTTTCGACAATTTCGCAGCTTGTGCACGATCCTTTTAGTGCCGATGGAGGGTATAGGATCGGCGACAGTGCCAAAAGTATCAAAGTATTGTCGACCGCGACACGAACGTTGCGCGGAAGTACGGATACGCGGGAGGTCTTCGATTGAATGCGATCAGCACCGCGGAGATATTCGAGCCTGTGCTCGCTTACTGAGAAAAGCGCGTGAACACCGACAAGAGCATGCTCGAGCGTTTGCTCGACACTGGCGTCTTGCTGGAACTAATGAATTTGCTTGTGCATACACATGAATAGAGATGAATTTTACTCCACGCACGTGTCGGTCAAGTGCAAGTCGTGCCTGGGCAAACTCTGTACAGTTAAGAGGGACTTGTACAACGCCGTGGTGATGAAATGCAGATTCGTCAGTCTAGTATGTATCACGTGGAACACGTGTCGCAATTTAACTTACAACGTAGGCGTACTGTCTGAACATGTGTACGAGGAAAGCGTGTGTTTACTGTTTGTTCACCTTCTTGTGCAGTTGCATCTCTCGACTCGACGGAGTTGAACCGAGCCCTACAGATTCTGAGAGCTTCAGGAATCTTGAGAATATTATCTCTTTCATGCTGGACGG